CACCCTCTCCTCCCCCCCCCCCCCAAAAGAAAAGAACTTTAAAAGGGAATTAAAAGGGGTGGATGTGGATTGTGGGTTAACAACAGAGATGACGGTACATGAGTGCTTCCCATGTAATGATCCCTCGTCTGTCTTGTTCCTCTCCATCCCTCACTACTCGACTTTCATTTTTATTCTTCCTTTTTTCTCTTTAGCCACCTCTGTTTCCTCTCCTCTCCTCTCCTCTCCTCTCCCCAGCATGCATAATCCATTCCCCGCCAGCTCTAAAGGAGTTTCATGGATTTATTTACCCTTCTTTTCCTCCCTCCACGTGAAAACCCTTTTTTTTTTTTTCTCTCTCTCTCTGTGTGTGTGTGTGGGGCTTCATAACGGCCATTTAAAAATATATATTTATATATAAATATACCACCACCCACGCACCACCGGGTTATAAATATTCTGGCATATACATGTACGCTAACAAATGGCTATTGTAACTCTATGAATTCCGATGTATCAATGAATACCGTACATATTATATATATATTATATATTATAATAATCTGTGTATACATCATACACGCATTACCCTAAGAGTCAATGATAGAGAGACGCATTCCCTCTCACTCTCTCTTTTTCTTTTTCTCATATATATATATATATATATATATATGTACGGTATTCACCGTTCTGTCAATGAATAAAGTACAGCTTGTCAATGTTTTCCACACATAAAAATTAAAAAATAAAAAAAAAAAAATAAAAATAAAAAAAAAAAATAAAAAAATACCCACATGGAACAACTCCATTTTCTCATCACTACACATTACATGACGCATATAAAAAACAAACAAACAACAATATATATATATATATATATATATATAGATAGGTAGGTAGATATCAGTAAAATAAATAAATAAATAAAATTCTTTTACAAGAAATAACACGATACAAAAACAACAAAAAAAACAAAAACAAAATGCTTTTATACTCCCATTGCCAATAATACGACTGCCATTGGAAATCGATAAGGCCACCGTCGTCGTCTGATTCATAAGGAGTGGGAGTAGGAGGTGGTGAAAGAAAAGAAAAGAAAAGAAAAGAAAAGAAAAGAAAAAAGGCAGTCAAACTTGTAGTCCAGGCAATATCACATGTCAAGATGTGAGCATGAGACCTTCTGCACCAGGCAGGAGACCCAATTCGATGTCCCCCATACGTGACGGTTGGCCTACTGAAACAAGTTGTTTGGAGGCAAGTGCCAGAACACTGACGAACGTGCGGGCCGCCTCACGACGACGCATGCCACGACAAACGTCATGCAACAAACAGTATTCACGAGTGGCTACCTCCTTCCGTGACTTCTTCGACTGCCTTTTTTGTTGTTGTTGTTGTGCCGGCATTTCAATCTCATCACGAATGCGCCTCAATGTCGCCATTGCAATCATCGAGAGACCGCCACTACCACTTTTATTCTCATCGTCATTCTCGTCATCACGTCCGCGCTTGCGGGTATTCATATTGTGCATCTCCTCTTCCATATTCCAAGCCGCGGCTAACATTTCCTCTTCCTCTCCCATTCTGCCTGCCGGAAGGTTTTCATCTTGATGCTGTTGCTGATGTTTTTGTTGTTGCAGCGGTGGCATAGCAGAGGCCTCAGCTTGTTCAATAAACGGTTTCAGTAACGTTGTGTACATTGCGCAAAGGGACGGGTTCGGCTGCCACGAGAGCGGTGCCGCATCCACAAAAGCCCACAGATCGCTTTTACTGGACTCCGGTACAATTGTGGCGCGGTCGCGTGCCTCCTGCACGTCATACGGTCCACGTCGGGGTACCGCATCGACAATGTCACTGCGATCATCCATCCACCGTTGCACCGTCTCCCCTGACACGGTTGTGGCGGCGAGGTCAAGTATATTCACAGAACGCGTCTTACGCGCCGTTGTCTGCTGCTGCTGCTGTTTTTGTTGTAACAATTCCGCAATTGCAAAAGGATCTGCAATTCCTTCTGCTGGCATCAGGAAATCCGGCAACAGTGCATGGTCCTCCGGCAGTGGAACACCAATGTCAAGTTCCTCCCCAGGTATGGGAAACCCCGCAAAGTCACCCCCAAGTCCTGCCGCCGCCGATGCCACGCCCACCACACCACTGGCACGTGCCTTTTCAATACTCGGGTTACTTGACTTTTTGCTGCTGCTGCTTCCACTCACACGATCTCCAAATGCGACCAAATCCGCACGTAACTTCGCAATCTCGTCATAGTCCTGCTGTGTGCTTTGGAGCTCCTCCACCGCTTGCGAAGTAGGCTCCACCGCGTACCATGCGGAAGCCAAGAACGCAGAGGCACCGTTATTATTATTATTGTTGCTTCCACTGCTGCTGATGCCTGGTGTGCTCTTCGGTTGCTTTGAACCATGCAGCAAGTCTGCAATGTCGTCAAACCGAGCTTCAAGTGCCTCCACGTCACTTTTCCCCGTCGCCACCGCCTCAGCTGCAGCGCTGCCACTCCAATCAAATGTCACCGCCTCAATGTCACCATTGCCGCTGATCAACACGCCATCCAACATTGCCATGGCGCCCGTTCCCTCTGGTAAATTGTTGTTATTCTTATTGGCAACGGACGGCGAAGACACAGACTTCGCCGGAAGTGGTGCAACGCGCAGGATGAGTGTCGCGTCTGTGGCGTCCTTCAACAGGTGTTTCACCTTCAGCGCGTAGATACGCACCACACCAACAAGAAGTTCACCGCTGGTACGCAACGCAATAGGCACCGCCGGCTGCACAATATCCACAACGGATTGTCGAAGGTCAACAACACGCACCTCATTACGCGTCAGACGACGATCCCAGTGAGCTGCAAGCCAGATCTTCGCAAGAGGCCCTCGCTTCGTCAAGACATACGTAGAGAAGAACATGATGGATGAATGTATTCCTCACTCCCTCTGCGGTTTGTCTTTTTTTTTTTTTTTTTTAATCTTTTTTTTGGGTTCTTTTTTCGTTTGCCTCCGTCTATTTACTGATATATTTGAAGGGGGAGGCAATGTATTGTATTGTCTGTATGTACAATGGGGGTATAATTTACCTCTCTTACTCTGACCGTTTCTTTTTTTCTTTTTTACCAGTTTTATTTTCGCTTCCTTCAAATGTTTTCTCCTGCCTTTATTGTTTTCTATTATCCCTTTTAATAAGAGAGAGAGAGAGAGGGAGGGAAAGAAAAAAAAAAAAAAAAAGAAAGAGGATGGCAATAAAATGGGAATGCAGGAAAGAATCGTTATGTACATGTATATTATTTGCATGCATGCATGCGTGTTGAAGGAAGAAGAAGAAGTGGTGCGGGGGACGACATCATGCGTGGAATTCAAGGGAATAATAATAATAATAAAGATATATCTATTTATTTATTTACATATACATATATATATATATATATAGACATGACCACATGCATGCTTCACTGGAAAGACAGAGAGACAAATATACATGCATGCATTGCCTCCAATGAATAACAATGCTTCTCTTTTCAATGAAGGGGAATTGAAAAAAGAAAAAAAAAAAAAAAAAAGGGGGGTGGGCAGAGAAAATAGATATTAAAAGACGAAGTTTTTTTTTTCTTTTTTTTTTTTTTTTCAATTTCTCTTCATTGAAACGAGTTGTGGTTGGAATCGATGTAACAACAAGAACAACAGTGGGCAGTAAATGAGAGAAAATAGCAACGGCGGCGGCAAACAATATTGTCTCCGTGGCAATTTTATACCCCCACAAACACACACACACAGAGAGAGAGAAGAGAGAAAAAAGAAAAAGAGGGAATGACATTTATAATGCGTCGCATCCATGCATCATCAACCAAGTCGTTTCTTTCTCTCTCAGATTCAACCAAACAAAATCCTCCTCATAATCCCCACACTTTGTTATTGCCTCTTCTCTTTCCTTTGTGTTCAGTCCACGTTTCTCTTGTTTTCTCCCCTTCCCTCCCTTTTTTTTTTTTTTTTTTTCATTATCCCCTTTCTTAAACAATAAACATTTCCACCCTCCTTCTATTGTCACATACACACAGACACACGCATTCATCACTCCTCTGCGCCGGCAGTGTCCTCATCGTCGTCGTCGTCTTCGTTATCGCTGCCCTCTTCGGCACGTTTCAGCGCCGCGCGGGCATCGTACAGCGGCTGGAGCTCTGGTCGGGGCTCCGGCGCTGGCGGCAGTGGCGTGGGCGGTCGCTGCTTCGGTGCGGTGGCGAGCGGCAGTTCGCTCTTCTTCCTGCGTTGCAGCACCGCAGTCGCGGCGATGACTGTGAGGGCCTCATTGGACACCCCCGCGACCTTTTCAAGCGGGACGGCAACATAACTGCAGCCCTCCGTTGCCGGTACCACCGGTGCCGCCTCTGCAGCGACGGCCTGCTCCAATGGCTTTGCGTCCTTTGGTTTCTTGTCTTTTTCTTCGGGTTCGGGCGGCACCCTCGAGGCCACTTCGAGTTTTTCGTTCAGTTTTGCGTGTGCGTCGGGGTGCCACTCCTGTACATACATAATCACATCCTCCGCTGCATTGCCCAGCATCGGGTTGCTGTGAATGGGACGGAGAAGTTGTTTGGTTGTCGTGTGACGGTTAAGCGTCACGCGCAGTGCGGGCTGAATGGCACGCGCAAAGGCCCCTTCAATCTCGCCCTCCATTGACACCTGCACAGTGGGCAAACGGTGTTGCATGTGATTTTCTCCCGCACATGTCATTTGCGCGGACCTTTCCAAGATGACCATCGGCTGGCGTTCCACCTCAGTGGTTCCCGGCCGCTCAACAATGAGAATCAACCGCGTTGTGTACTCCTTTAGGATGATTGTCTCGTCGCCAATTGACGATAGCCGCAGTCGTTTTTTGTCAACATCATAAAGAACGGGGCGCAGGCGAACTTCCACGACAAGGTTCGCATCCTCCGAGTCGTACTTGACGGAGCAGATCTCAATTGACATCAGCACCACACCAAGCTTGCCATGCTCACTCACGGAAGCTAGTGACTTGATCCACCGCTGCACGGGCGGGAAGTTCACCGCCTTGACAAGATCCACCATCTTTCCGCCGCTGCACTCCGGCGCAAATGTGACGGGCACACGTTTTGGTTCCTCCTGTTGAGGCGCAAAGACCTCAAGGCGCGGTGGCACACGGGTGGTGCCGTGCAACACCCCCGGGTGCCACTCACCATTCACATAAAACCCTTCTTGTTGAAAGGCGTCATGTGAACTGGGTCCAAGACGGTGAAGAAAGACTCCTGCCCCAACGGGTGCATCCTTCGAAAAGTTTCCAATGTACCGCGTGATATTAGACGCCAGTCGCCATTCTCCAGAGACAAATTCATTGTCAACAAAGCTGCCGTGGAAGGAAGATCCATCGGTGAAGCGGTAAACACCGTAGCCGTGTTTCTTGTTGTGTTCCCAGGCGCCATCGTAGCTGCTACCGTCGGCATACACGTAACGCCCATTACCATGTTTCTCGTCACGTGACCAGGCTCCCAGGTAGCGTGAGCCATCGGGGTACACAATTCGGCCATGACCGTGTCGCACACTGCGATACCAGCGGCCCACGTAAAATACACCTTGTTTCGCCCACCAATACAGACCCAAACCATGGCGTTGGTTGTTTTCATACTCACCTGTATAAACATCACCATTTGGAAAAATCGACTGCCCAAGGCCTTGTTTTGTCCCATCACGCAGTCGAGCTCCAATGTACACACCGAGTTCACCAATTTGCTTCACAATTCCCACACCATGGTCACCCCATTCATCATGGTACTCGGATAATGACTCATACACAAGTTCCTCTGGTAACGCTTCATTTTCTTCCTCTTCCTCCTCTTCCTCTTCTTCTTCTTCCTCTTCTTCATCGTTGCCGTCTGCTCTTTCCTTCTCCTGCTGCAGCTTGGAAGCAAGACGTTCTGTTCGCTGCTTGTCACGTTCTTGCTGTCGTGCCTGCAGTTCGGCTGGGGTAGGCAACTCCGGCCGCATCTCTTCCCACCTGGTGTACACAGCCATCTCGGTTGATTCCATCGGGAAGCCAAAGGCCGCCCGCTTCGCCCGCTTCAAAAGATATTCTGCCAATGTAAAGTGTTGCTGTCGCGTTGCCCACTGCAAGAGGGTCTGCTGCGTCACAGGGTCCCGTTCCTGCAGCATCCTCTCCAGCTCCTCGTCATCGTCCACGTCGTTGATGAAACGCAGTAGTTTGCTAAGCTTTGGCGCCTTTTTCATGCGGGCAACTTCATCGTCTTCTTCATCCTCGTCTGCCTCGTCGTCCCCAACACCCTTCGAGGAACCATCACCACGGGCGTATTCGGGGTGCACAAATTGCCAAATAGGCGGGAGCTCCATCGTGAGCTCTTCGTCTTCTTCGCCGTCAAGCATCTCTCTCTCTTTTTCTCTTTCTTTTCCCCAACCCCCCTTCAAAGATATCCTCCTGCTCCCTTTTTTTTTTTATTTTTTCTTTTTTCGTAATTTGTTTGTTTGCGTCTTCTCTTCTCGAGGTAAATGATTGCTTCACGAGGGTAGTAGTAGTAGTGGTACTGCTGGTGCTGGTGCTGGTGGTGGTGGTGTACGAATATTCCCGGCTACGTTTTTCCCGTCGCCCCTCCACCCCCCTTTCACTCCTTCACGCTAAAGAGGGGACGTCGTTTCACATGACAGAAAACAAAGCAAAACAAAGAAACAGAGATTAATTGAAAAGAGAAGAATAACAATATTAAAAAAGGATAGATACATACATACATATATTTCTTTGAAGGGAAGAAGACTAGGTTGAGATTAAATGTACCAGCAGTCGATAGGAATTAGTAGTGAGGGGCCGTTACCATGAAAATATCTTCCTGAAAATGCCACCGGCCGCCTCAGCGTGGCGCCAGGGTTAATTGCTTCTCCCCTCCCTCCCGTATTGTCGGGGAAAGCCAAGAGCCAGCCATGTTTCCCTCACGGGGTCGTTGTCGTTGCTCTTATGGCCACGGGGCTGACGGCATCGTCTGGCCGCGTGATTCTGGGAAACAAAGTTGCATCACCATGACGTCTGAAGTACACGTGTTGCCGTGCCGTCAGCAGTGCAGTAAAATCCATCAAAAGCAACAAAGAGTACAGAAAAAAAAAAAAAAAAAAAAAAAAAAAGAAAAGAAAGGAAAGGAAAGGAAAACAGAAGGTTCACATTTCACACAGGTGTATACCGTGCTTGTAGAGAGAAGTAATGACGCTGGGCTCACCAGTCACCCCATGGAGCAACGGTGTCGTCCTCTTCTAATTCCATCTCCCACTTGCTCCTATTTTTCTTTTTTGGCTTCCTTGCATTGGGTGTTGGTTTCTGCTGTTCCTCTTCCCACTCTTTTTGGTCGCACTGACTCCCCATGATGGGCAGGAGTACTGCTAACTCTCCCTCTCCCGATGGCAATGAGGGGCATATCGATAATAAGAATGATGAGCACTCAGAAATTTGGCCCATCGCATGGACTTTCGAAAGTTCACAAGGCTGCGCTGCCACCGCCACCGCCGCCGTCGGAGTTGTTTCTTGTTGCGGTACGGACGGTGATGGGAACTGTGGTGGTTGTGGCTCAGGCAAATCCATGATATCTGAGCCACATGCCACTTGCGACTGCGTCATCGTCGGTACTGTAGAAGAATGTTCATCCCCTTCCTCCTTGATGTCTGTGTTGTTGTACTCCGGTAGTTCACGTTGTCCATCCCGCACAAGGCACGCGAGGAGGTGTTTGCCTTCCTGCAGCTCATTTTGGGCACACGCCAGCTCCTGCTGCGCCCGAGACAACTCCGCCTCGGCGTTATCTGCGCGAGCACGTTCACTTAGCAAGGCCTTGCCTCCATCGTTCCGGCGCTTCTTCATTCTGCCATGTGGGGCATTCACGTATGCCAGTTTTGGCGTCGGACCAGCGCCACGGCAACGGTGCTGGCGAGCGTCACCATTCTCACAGCTTTGTTGCCGTTCAATGGCACTCCTCTCCTCCGGTTGTTGATCCGTTCCTTTTCCCCTTCCTCCTGCTTCCTCTTCTTCTCCCGCCTCATTGGGCTCCTCGCGCTGTTGATGTTCCGCAAGTTGACGTTTGAGTTCCGCGATATCCCTGTCGGCGGCGGCCAATCTCACCTTCAGCTGCCGCAACATGTCTTCCTTCTCCTCCACGCGGCAGTGCAGGGTGCTACTGAGTCGGGTCTGCCGCTGCAGGCATTCCTCCAGTCGTGGCACCGTGGCGGCTTGAGCTTCCAACTCACGTAGCCGTTTTAAATGCCGTCGGGACCCTTCCTCGGCCCGACGGCAACGTGTGGCGAGTTTGTAAACCCCTTCGTACACACCAACCGAGACGTTGAGAAGCCCGTCACTGACATCTGGAACAAGACGTCGCAGAAGACGCAATGCCACCGCATCATGATCCGGATTATCACCGTCACCCTTATTGTGTACATGGCGGCGGTCTCCACCATGGCGTCCACGCGCTGCAGATGCAACGTCTTTTGTCTTAACTCCCGTGTTGGTGGCGGCCACCGCCTGCCTTGCGGCCTGCAGCGACGACAGGGACGGTCGTGCAAACGTCACGGGAAGTGGGGATGTAAAGAGACTGCTGCGCCAGTGCGCAGCAGCAGCAGCAGCAATTGCATCATTAGGATCATTACCATCGGGCGCAGAATGTGGTGGCGACACAAAGTCCTCACGCGCCAGCCGCTCCAGATGACTCTCAGGTGGTGTCGTCACCACATCGCATGGCGGTGAGAACAACGGCGAGTGTGCTGTTGCCGGAACCGGTAGTGGAGAGAGGATTACCCGCCCTGGTACGCTGGGGCTCTTATCGATGCCATTGTCATTAACTGTCTTTCCAGCAGAATTTAAGGAAACATTGATCTCCCCGCCGCCACCCTCTTTTTCCTTTTCCTTTTCTTCCTCCTTCTTCTCGTCTTCTAGTTTTTCTTCTTCTTCTTGTTGTTGTTGTTGTTGCAACAGCTGCTGCGACATCATCCTCTCTTGTGCCAACAGCACGCGCAATTCATCCACCTCCGCCATGAGTTCTCCACACTGCGACTTCGTGCCATCTAACTCCACCTGCAGCTCCTTACATCGTGACTGCCACCGCTGCGTTTCCACATATGCGGCATGCACGACGTGGAGAAGATAATTCATCTCCCGTTGGTGCTGCGCAGACATAAACTGTCTGTTACCCTTCCTGGGGGATCCACAACGCTGTGACGGCGGTAAAGTGTTCCCCACCGTGGAGATAATCATACTCACATGGCTAGACGCATGTACACGTTCTTCTGCCCCCACAGAAATGACAAACGGCGCTGGATACATTTGCAGTTGCCTCTGTGACTCTTTTTCCAAGCAGAGCCGCCGCACCTCACGGTGTTGCTCAAGAAGGGCTTGCAGCTTTGCATAGAGAGCACAGAACGGACCGTTGCCATCATCACTCATGCCACCATCGGGATGATCATGACTGGCGCCATTATTGTTGCTATCCAATGCCGCAGCGACAGGAGGCATGACCTCCGTGCCAATGGAAGGAATTGCGCTGCGCCTTTTTTCCCCCTTCTCCCCATACTCCTCCTCCTCTACCCCCACTTTCTTTTCTGTGATGGAAGGCGAGGAGGAGGATGAGGAGGGGAGCGACTCCAGCAGCTGCTCAAATGTACACAACAGCCGCTCCACCGTGACAGGATGAAACGGGTACCGGTGGCGTCGAAAGACACTGGCGATCACTGAGGCGTTGTGGGCGTCGTCATCGCCCCCATTCATAATTTTTATTTCCCCCCTCTTTCTCTCTCTCCCTCTCTCTCTCCTTGTAAACTCACAAGTCACTTTTTTTTTGAAAGCAAACAAACAGTCAGAAGTCCACACTTCTCTCCCTTTCTTTTTTTTCTTTTTTTTTCCCCACCCCCACTGTTGGCTGTTCTCCCACCGCGTCACGAGACGCACGGCGTCAACAGGACAGCAGCAGCAGAAAACAAAAAAAAAACAAAAACAAAACAAAACAACAACAATAAATAGATACGCATTGCACAGACACGGACATGCATGCATCACACATAACTTCTTAGGCCCCCTTTCCCCTTCCACACACACACACACACCTTTTCCCCTCCGTCAGGGGCATATATACATGCATACAATGCGCCATGCTCATGTATTCACATCGGAAATGTAAACATCCCCATCCCCCCCCAACACACAAATAAAAAACAGCCACACACACACACACACACACAGGGAGAGAGAGAGAGGGAGAGAAAACAAAATAAAACGGTAATAATCATCAACATAAATAATGAAGAAAAAACAAACAAACAAACAAACAAACAAAAAAAGTCAATGTCACCAAAAACCAAGAAATACAAATAATTAATATTAGTAATATTAAATAGTAATAATAATGGTAATAAAAAAAAAAAAAAAAAAACAACAAGAGCACACATGTAATTTATTCATTTCTCACCAACACTTTTCTTCTTCTCTTCCACAGCATCCCGTACGTTACTTCTACACATACACATGGCCCTTTCCTGTAGCCCATAAATAAACATATAAACATATATATATATATATATATATACACTCCTTTCCATTCACACGCACGTTATTCGTCCGGCTCTGGATCAACGGGGAGTTGTCGTGAAAAGTGCTGCCGCTCACGTCGGTCAACTTCGTAGTCAAAGTGTTCAATCGGGATGCTCTTTGAGTACCCCATCGCCTTTGCGTCTTTACCCAACTCACGAAGCTCAAACGAGATGACATCGTGAACATCCACGTGCATATCCATCTGCTTCACCGTGTACAATTCTTTTATAAACGCCCTGAGGGGATTACCGCCTGGTGATGACGGCAAGTTGCCGGTTCCCGCACCCTTCCGCTCTGTATGCCCCTTATTACGCGGGCCGGTGCTGGCGGATACACCAAAGTGATAATTTAACGGAAGATCCACATTGTCAATTTCACCACACAGCGTATCCACGTACATTTTCTCAACGCGGTACTTATTTCCTCCCTTCAGCGGCCTTTTTTGCACCATGTCTGCAGGGTTAACGGCTACAAGGCGGCGGCGGCTCACATCCTCACGCGTGATTATGACACTCAGACGACGGCGGTGATATCGCACCACAAGTTCCACCGGGTCCTCCGGTGTGCGATACAAAAGTGCCTCTCCCCCGGATTCACGTGCCTCCTGCTCATCTTTATGCGTCGTCTGTGCGGACATCCGCACCGCACGCTCCGTCGGTGACTGCCGGAAGTCATATTGGCACTGCAGCCGCACCGGTGACGTGTGAAAGTCGGGTTCTCTCGGGTTGAAGTTGTTCACGGCTGGTTTGGCACCCCCTCGCTCCTTCGCCGGCAGATTAAACAAGAGCGTGATGCGAGGGTCATGTGGTGCATGCTTTGCGCTGCCTCTACCGCTGCTACTGTTGTTGTTGTTGTTGTTTTTATTGTTGCTGCTGCGGTGATGATGCGGATGAGAGTCGGTGCCCTCGCGGTGCCCGACGGAGTCCAGTAGGACACCAAAGCCTCTAAACTCGGAAAATTTCAGCCCAAAAATGCGTGGCTCATACTCACTGTTGTCTATCGAGGTGCCCCTTTTAAAGACACGGCGATACATTTCTTCTCGCTCCTGCTGCTTCAGCAGCCGCGCCACACGACGTTTCTCTCTCGCCGTCTCATTCATTTCCTCTTCTTTTTCTTCCTCATCATCATCATCATCTTCGTCTTCATCTAATTCGTCATTGTGATTCAAAAGAAGATCCGCGACGCGTGAGGGATCCCGGCTTAACTTCTCCTCCTGGGCTGCATCCGGGTCCAGTGGCTTGCTGTACTTTGGCACGTGCTGGTGATCATCCCCGAGTGGCTGCTCGAGGTACCACAGCGCCATGCCTTCGCCCCCCTCGTACGGCACCGCCTCCTGCCCCGCCTGCCGCGCACGCGCCCGTACAACAGGAAGAGGGGCGCGAATCGAAAAACGCAGCCGCACCTCCCACGATGGGTGATCGCATGGTGCCGTATTGAAGGCAAAACCGTGATCACCGAGGTTGTTTGTTGTGAGACGAATAAACTTTTCATTCGCCACCGCCGAGCCGCCAATCATAAAGTGCGGTACCCCCTCATCCCACCAATCCGTTACGATGGGGGCACTAAATGAGTGTTCGTGCAGCAACGGTCCGCGTACGACGCCCTCTGGAAGTGCTTCCCCTTTCCATGCATGCTCCGTATTCCCCGCCACAAAGTACGGCACGGGCAACAGAAGCAACAACAGAAAAAACAACACGGACGTTATGAATAATGACGGAATACCAGAAACATGCAAATGATGATGTGAATTCCTTTTCCGCATAGACATTTGTTGTGTCACGTGCATGTGGGTATCGTCGTCCTCCCCTCTTCCTTACCCCACCGTCCTCTTTTCAATGATTTCTTCCGTGTTTCACTTTCAATATATATATATATATTTGTATTTTACACAGACAGAATCCACAACGTTGTATTAAAATCAAATTAAACGACTTTCCACTGCTTTTGCTTTTCCTTTCCCTCCCAGACCCACCCACACACATAGTAAAAAAAAGAAAAAAAAAAGAAAAAAAAAAAAAAAAAGAAAATAGACAGACAGACAGACAGACAGACAGACAGACGGACAGTAACAAAGACAACAAGTCAGAGACATGTAATGATGGCGGGACGGCCACACATATCCCCGTACATGCATAAAAGGATGCATACATGAATAACAATACACACGCTATACCTTTACAAGCAAAAAAAAAAAAAAAAAAAGGAAGTAAACATTCGAATTCGATGAACCCCTTTCCCAAAACATTCACGTTGCGGTGGAGGCAGCGGAAGTTAAAGGGAAGGGGGTCATTGCACACCGTCATATCAGCTTCGCTCTCAAGATGTACATTGTCAGTAGTTACACACACACACACACACACACACACGTACAGAGGCATATATATGCATACCCATGGAAACACAAACTTCCCTCCCTTCCCCACACACACGGAGAAGAAAAAGGAAAGGAAAAGAAAAAAAAAGAAAAACAAACAAACAAAAAAAGAAAAGACATTACTCCGTGCTCAGTGAAACCTCCTCATGGCGATGTGGACTCTCAAGATATTCACGTGATCGCATTTCAATGAGGCGTGAGATACATCGTTCCATTTGAAAGGCGGCATCCGTGTGGTCAATTAGCCTCTTACCGGACTCACGTTCAAATTCCGTAAGCAAATCAAATCTGCCCACGTCTCCACTGTTGCCACCACTTTCAAGATGCTTCTGAGATGCCTCGTATTCCGCCTTACTTTCCTGCAACTCCCGCGGTGGTACTTGGGCGTAAATGATAACTTTGCAGCGAAACTCATAAAGCGCATCCACAAGAAGGAGAAAGCGACTCTTAATATCGCTGCTTTCATACGCGAAACGAGGCACACCTTCAATAAAAACGGTATGAAATGTTTTGGCAATAATCTCGTAGTCGGCACTCGACGTCGCTTCACTGCAGATTTCAGTAAACTGAAATCGACACACCCCACCACATGCGGTGGGTACCCGCACATCACGACCAAACACCCGCAAAATCCGCTCCTTTGGTGGCATTCCTTTGCAAAGTTGTAAAAAGATGTTATTGAACCGCGCGCTGTTCTCTTCATTCATCGGGGCAATATACATCTGTGCATCACTTCCAGTAAGGCGGTGATCCGTCTCACTGCGCATATCGTACAAAACACACTGCCGCTTCACCAACTCAATAAAAGGAACAAAAGACTCACGGTTAAGACCCCCAAGGTACAGCTGATCGGGCGGCCGATTGGATGTAAAGACAACAACAAGCCCAATCTTATAAAAAGCGTTAAATAAACGCCGCATAATCATAGCGTGGGCCACGTCCACAACAACAACTTCGTCAAAGCATAACAACTCCACATCGCTAATAAGTCTCTGTGCAACTTCATCAAAAAGATCAACAGAAGCCTCTTTTGTGCGCCGCGGTTGCAGTTCGGAGTTACTTTTTGAAATGTACTGAATATCATGTAATGTACGCTGCACATCTAACATAAATTGATGAAAATGAATGCGTCGCTTCTTGATTTCCGTTGGGGCGTGATGATAAAGCAAATCCATCAACATAGTCTTCCCACAGCCAACCCCACCATACACATACAGCCCTTTCACAAGAGACAAAGGGTGGTACGCCGTATTCGCATCATTCCCAATCTCTTGCAAGGCCCGTCGCACTTTATCCTCCTGCTCACGGCGAATAAAAAAGGAAGGCACCACGCCAAGTCGATTTGGCGGCCGAAGTTCTACCTGACGTGGACGTAATCGACCAACGCTATTTGTATAACGTACAAGGTCTTCATAAAGACGATCAAACACGGGTAACGCACTCAATTGCTGGGTATCACGTGAAATGCTCCCTGCATTTACAAGTTTATCGTACGCCAGCGAGGGCTTAAAACTACAGCGCCACACCGCAGTGACACATCGCAGCATTTTCTTTCCTAATCAAAAAAAAAAAAAAAAAAAAGAAAAAAAAAACACAGAAAGACACATTACAAAAAGGGAGGAGAGAGAATATATATAAAAAAAAAAAAAAAAGAACCACATATGCCCAAAGTGATGGGGGGAAAGGCGTTGGTTTTCTTTTTTTTATATTCTTCTTCTTTTACAGCCTGGCTGGGGACAAAACCAAAAAAAGGGACCGATCCAACGGTTGTCTGTACGCATGTACGCATGTGTGTGTGTGTATTTGCGGGTCTGTAGGCGAGAAGGGGCGGACGGCATCTCCCCCCACCCCCCTCTCCCCCCCCTACACACACACACAAACAAGCAGCTGCAAAGAAAAAAAATAAAATAAAATAAAAAAAAATAATAAAATCAAATAATGCAAAGAGAAAACAACAACAACAACACTCACACGTCATTTCTACCCTCCCCTCCCTCTTCCCCTCTCTCTTTCTCTCACACACACAAAAAAATAATAATAATGATAATAATAATAATATATTTCCCAAATCAATAAAATCCACTCACACAATTCTTTTTTTTTAAATTTTATTATTATTATTATTATTTGGGCAAAAGAAGAGAATAAAAACACACAAGAAAGGGGGAAAAAAAAGGGGACAAAAAAAAAAAAAACATAAGACCCATACATATATATGTATGCTTTGTTTTATCCTTTTCATCTATGAAAGAAGGGTTATCATATTGCCATCAACCATGTATCCACCCCTCACCGAGGTAAAGAACAAATTCTTCAAGAACTCGGAGAAGATCCATGACAGTTCCTTCATCAATTTCTCTACCATCATCCCGTACGGTATGCCATGATGGCGGGAATGGCCATGGAATAAGATGTAAAACACGTTGTGTGTCCATCCAATGAATATGATCATCTTCCATAACAAAGGTATCATCGAGCCGTGAGCCCTGTGCCAGTTTCTCCTCCATGGGAAAAAATAGGTTCCTAACACGAAGGCCTATACTGTGAGCTTGAGAAGCGCCATTTGACGGAAACCATTTTTCTGCATTGTCGATGTGGGGCCGCAAAGGACCCATGAGACAAGGTGCATCACTCAAAGTATACATCTCATGTGGTGTCCCGTGTTGACACCAAATCTCTGGAAGGTAGGACGAACAATTCTCCTTTTCCTTCATAAATTGCTGTACAATACATGAAAGCCGCTCTGCACGCACACGATGTGCCTCCTCTACATCGACAAGCAACGCAAAGGCCATTCCACTTTGATCGGGGAAGTAATTATGAAACCTTGTCTCAGCCGGTCCCATAAGATCGTACAACACAAAAAGATCAATCGAATCAAAATATGAGAGAGTAGTGTCGGCCCCATTGTACGCATCCGTGACCACAGGCTGCATCTTTTTCTTTTTCCACTGCTGCGCCAGATGTCGTGAGCCATATGTGTGGTCATCGCCATACCAACGCACAAAGGCCTCCTCACCATCAAAAAATATCACTGTAATGGCAGGGAGATGACTCACATGACGCAGCAGCTTTTGCCACGCAACACCACCACCTCCACCATTTCCATCCCCAAAATTTTCCTCACAATTTGATACATTTTCATCCTCCGTTCCATTTCCTGCCATTCTCGTAGTCGTGTTGCCCGAGAGGCAGCAAATAACGTCATCGTCATCGGCGTAGTAATAAAGCAAAATTTTACGATACGCGGGCGAAAGCGCATGACGCAACTGCGTGCAAACATCCTTTTTCTCCGCATTTTCAGTGAGCGATTGAAGGATTTCACTTGTTTCCGACAGCACTGTAATCATCCGCATGGTTTCCAGCAGGTACACCACAGAGACTGCTGAATCGCATGCACCCAGGAAGTCAAACTCGGCAAAGTACTTGCTGTCCCAATGCGCCGCCAACACAACATGCCGCAGCTTTTCACCAGCCATGCTGCCCTTCCCTTCGCCATTGCGCCCGCCTGCCGCTGCGGCAAAGGATCGACGAGGCCGCTTGACTGTCGTTGCTTCTTTTTTTTTCGTTTCCTTCGAGCTCTGTTGTCGGAAGGCGTGACCGCCTTCAAAGTGGAAGACGAGATTAAAAAACCACCGCGTCCCTAACGGTGTTTCGCTTGTAAAGTTATCCCATTCCAAACGCCAGTGCGACCTCGGCGACGGTGGGATCACGGCGGGGTTGAAGAGTGTCGTCAACTGCGGTTGCCATTGACCCTCCGCGGCGATAAATTCCAGCATTTTTCGGTGCCCAGGCGAAAAGGAGCCGGCCACACGTGTGCCAAATTGCAGCACCTTTTGAATCCGCTGCATCAGACGTACACGACGCTGCGATGCCGGAAGGAGAAATGAAAGCGCTGACAAAACCGCCTCCTCTTCCTCATCCTCTTCACTGTGTGTATGCTGTAACTTTAGTGGAGGGTACGATGTCTTCCACGGATGCTCACGGAGTGAAGGATGCATCTCACGGTCCCATAAGGGTTTCATTGTTTCCCCATTTTCTTTATTAAACAACATATCCTTCCAATACCATGACGACAATGGCGATATTATTCCTAATGCTAGCACGAATGCAGTCAAAGTTATTACAGCAAGGCAACATACCTTTCTGTCAACAATAGGACGTCCTTTTACATGAATATTCCTATTGTAATCATTTTTTTTAATTTCCATTTCTCTGAAGGGTCGACGTGTGCGGTTTTGCATATACATATATCTATATCTATATACATACAATCCCACACGTTGTATTTCCAGCAATACACACAAAGACAGAAACAAACCCTCTCTCTCTCTCTCTCTCTCTAAATAAATAAATATATATATTTATGTACTCGTGTATAATCTATTTACCCACCGTCCCTTCCCCCCTTCCCAACTCCCCTAAAACAATGCACAATATACATGTGTGAAAGCACAAGACGTAAGAAAGAAGTAGAAAGCACATTTTGAATTATCTTTTATTCTTCCTTTTTGCAATCCATGGTAGTCAAGACAGACAGAAATCAAGAACATTTGTAATAATTATATGTACTCTACAATGTTATACATGTATACAAGGATACATGTATAAATATATAAATTTACATACATTTCCTTTCATGAATGTGTGTATGTGTGTATGTGTGTGTCTATCGTACAAATACATATACAAACTTTCCCTGCGTATATTCAATGATGATGGAGGGAAGAAGAGAAATAGAGAGGAGAAAGCAAAAAAAAAAAAAAAAAAAAAAGTGTCTTGCCTCGACCCCCCCCCCCCAAGGATAAGTAAATCAGGCTATTTTTCCACTTCTCTCTCATTTTTTTTTTTTTTTTCTTCCTTTCTCTCTCCCTCTTCTCTTTACATCAAGCATCATTAGGCACACAGCTAACCAGAGAAATAACAGCAGAATGAAGAACAAACAAACAAACAAACACACACATATATATATGCAGAAAATAAAAAGATGTCACCTTCACATCAGGTGTTACTCCGTGGTCTTACGCACTCATCAGGGGAACCCACCGCCAGCCCCTCAAATACACTACAGATAAAATCCGCAACTTCCTCCGGTTGATACAAACCGAGTGCCGGAATGGACTGGTAGCCCTCCAACATCTCTTCTGGCAATTTTGTCTCGGAACCTACCGTGTTTATCAAATAGGGCTGTACGGTTGGAATGAGGGGTGAACCTTCAAGAAATGGGCCTGAGGGTGGTGCGGTGGAACAGAAGGCCGTTTCAAGAGAAATGGCAGGACCTTCCACACCACTGGCGCTAGGCAAGGTTGAGTCCCAAGAATAAGACATGTTTTGGCAATTGCCGGGGGTTTTTGTCCGCCTAAGCGCCGCCGCATTACGGCACCAATACTCTCGCACATTATGAAGAAGTTGCTCGTGCTCTTGAATCCTCTGCTTAAATTCCTCAATCGACTTCCGCACCTCCTCCGTCTCTGCGCATCGCTTCTTCTTCTGTTCCTCCAACAACTCCATTGTGTGTGAAATCTCGTCGTTGAGCAGCAGTGTGTCCAGGGTCCTTACCCTCTCCTGCGAGCGCTTCTCCGCCGTGGCGGCATTAAGCTTTGCTTCCTGCGCATCACACTGTACAAGTAACTGTGCCCGCTGCTTTTCAAGTCCAGTGCTTGTTTGCATCATGCGCGCCGTCTCCTCCTTGTGTTTCCGCAGCTCCCCACGCAACCGCTTTAACTCTGTCCGTATCTTTTCACGCGAGGCGGCAAAATGGGCAGTGTCTTCTGTCAGGACAGACAGCAGTCCCGCAATGTGACCGGAGTTGTGACGTCCACTGGCATCACGGCCCGCCCGATTTGGCGGTTGAACAACCGGAGGCCGAACCACCAAGGGGGCGCGGTGGTACTTGAGCTGCCTCATGCGGGATCCCGCGTCGCCGGCAGGGCGATTGCTAATGGGTGTTGGGCCATCTTTGACACCCTCGCCGAGGTTTCCACCGGTGTCCTGCTCGGCCACTTTATGCACCGTGGGCAGCGGTGGAAGCGTCAGGCTCTGCGAGACCTCCGTCCATGTCCTACCGCTATGCAATTGAAGTCGTCTCCGCGACGGTGGTAGCCTGCCCGTCTCAACCGAAGATGACTGCGTTGCAGCATTTTCCGCTGTTGTGGCCATTTTTGTCACGTTCGTCGTCGTCGCCGTTGTGTTGTGGGGTGATGACAACAGGGACATGGCCACCGGGTGCATGGCGTTGATGATGCCCCCCTCCTCCGCTGCCTCACTTGTCGCACCCGATGCCTCCTGCTCCTCCTCCTCCTCCTTTTTATTTTTCCTCTTCGTCTCTTTTTCCTCCACTTCTTGCTGCTGCTGCTGCTGCTGCCGATGCGGCCACGTTTGCTTGCGTCCACTCAACTGCCTGTCTAGGCGCCCTTCGTTTTTCCCTCCTCCATCTTCCTCCTCTCGAGTCTCACGTCGCCTGTTTCTTCCGCGCTTCTGAAACCGCCGCAGTTCCAACCGCAGGTGTCGCTCTTGCTCAAGCAACTCCCGCTCATCCTCCGGCGGAGCGGGCAAGGCGGCGGTGGCTGTGTCGGACAAAGTACCCGTCACCGAGCCATTCATCGCCGTCTTTCGGCCCTCAAAGGAACTGTGCATATGTCCATGCATGCACCGGTGCAACTCCCACGTGAGGGCGTCTCCAACCTCCCCAACCAACTGCTCCATCGCCGCGCGCAGGCTATGCAGCGTCTGGTCCCGCCGCATCTTTTCCCTCGCCACTTCTCGCTCGGCGCGGCGCTTCAGTTGCTGCTGCTGTTCCTCCATCCGCTTAAGCCCCGCCACGACAACTTCGCGTCTCCCACCAATAGTCCATTCCTCCGCAAGGCGCACTCGTTGCAGGAGTGCCTTCTCCATTTCATGCAACTCTGACATGTACGCTGCGGCCGCATCGCGAAAGGCGACAAACCACGACTCCCCAGCCACACGCTGATGCAACCGCACTGAATAAAGCTCCTGAAGGAAATGAAGCATTTTTTGTCGCTCCTTTTCACTCGCCACACGACCTGTAAGAACAGCCTTGTGTTTCTGATCCACTTGACGCGATAATTCCATGTCACAATTCCACTCCAACGAATTCGCCTCATTCCGCATCTCACTGGATTTTTCCCTCAGCCAGCTCGCAACATATGGGAAAGCACGACTTGTTGCAACCGTCAAATAAAGTGACTTCGTTACCGGGTTTATCTCCACCACGTTGCCCTTCTCTTCCAAACTGAGAGTGACATCACCTGTGTTACCATCCACAAGACCGCCTTTCTTGTTGTTGCCATTGATAGAAAATGTCTGGGTGGTAGGGCGAGCGGAATAGGTGCTCATTTCTCTCTTTCTCTCTCTCTCTCTCTTTGTGTGTGTGTGTGCTTTGGTGTAATGTTTATGTTCACTCCTCCTTAACAACTATGTATGTATGCGACTGGGTGGTCCCTCACTCGTACTGCCCACATAAAAGCAGCAGTGCACATGAAGAATAAGGCGTTATAAAAAAAGAAAAAGAAAAAAAGGGACATATATATATGTATATATATATATAGATGTATTATTATTCTCTTTTCATTTCCATCCTCATTTCCTTCTCCTTCTCCTTCTTTATTTTCCCCACCTAAAACCATACGGACTTCTTACAGGGGAGTCATTTCATTACACGTAACTAAATATATATATTCGATCCAATTCCATATGAATAAATAAATAAATAAAAAGGGATCGACGCACACACACACACACACACAGACAAAAAAAAAGAAAAGAAAGAAGGAGGCAGAAAAAAAAAAAATAATAATAATAAATCATGACATGCATATACATGCATCTCATATATATTTCACCCCTCCTCCTAATCTCTCTTTGTCACTTTCTCTTTCACTCCCTCACTTTTCCCTAATGCACAACCATGGAATCTCCCTACCCACACTTAAGAAGAACTTTATGGCCATAACCATTTCTTAAATATAACAGCAAAGCAAATAAAAGAACATGCAGCAATAGCAATGTCAATTTGTTTTAACTGAACACGGAAAAGAACCCAGCTTCCAAGTTGGATACGGACAAATACAGGAGGGGCGGACCCAACCAGTGAGACTGCCTCTTCACCCTGTCCTTGTCCCTGTCCTAAAGCTTTGGGTGAATGACTAAGAGACCCACTACCCATCGTGTCCAATCCTCCATTTACATCCTCTCCCTGCTGCTGCTGCTGCTGCTGTCCCTCTGTTGTTGCCGCCGTTGCTTCACTCGTGTGCGCTGAGGCATTTTTCGCGGCATCTCCGTACTTCATGGCTGTTGTGGAGGTTTCGTCCTCCCCGTTTTTCGCTGCCATCACCCGGGTTGCTCCAAAGCTCACACCACTTGCTTTATTCATCACCGTTGCTGGTGCCACTGCGGGTGTTACTTTAACGACATCCTGGTCCACACGGTCGCCACATGCATGACTCTCCTCCTCCTTCTCCCCCACATGTCCTGCTGTCTGAGCGGCGGAGTTGGTGGTATTGGCAGCCGGCGTATTCGATGCTGCTTGATGCACCGTCGCTGCCGTCATGGATGCTTCTTCCCCTTTTCCCACTTCTACTGCCGTTGCCGCTGCTGGTGGCGCGATGTCTTCTTCTTTTTTTCGCGTTTTAACCGCCGACTTCGGCACATTCGCCTCCACCTCCGACGAGACGGGCGGGTACTGCTCCATCTGCGTCTTCCACACATCCCATGCACTCGTCATTCCACATGTGGGACATGAAAATTGATGGCTCTCCCGCGCCAGGTGTCGTTTTTCCTCCGACGTGACGTACCGTCTCTGAAGGGACCCCACACCGAGTTCCTCTTCCTGCGCCATAAATGACCGCAGCGCCACAAGAACCAACTCAATGTCGTACACCGGCTTCCACAGCTCCGGATGATAACTACTGATGGTGGAGCAGATCTTCTTCCCAACCTCAAAACGGCCGCTGTTGGTGAGGAAAATAATGTCCGGTGGAGAAAAGGGGTAGTTGCGAGGGAACATGATGGCTCCATGGTAGAGACCCCCTTCGTACGGGGAGTTGGGCGGCCCTTGGAGGGTGAAGTGCCACTCAAAAATGTCATTGAGCGGGCAGGCGTAGAAGTCACGTACACGTGATTCATCCAATTTTTGCTTCTCCTTCGCGAGACGTCTAATCGCCGCCCCCGCCATTTCTGCGTGTATAGATGCTGCTGTAAAAAATGTATATATATATATATATACACTTGCCATAATAAAGAGGAAAACACGCATGTGTGCGTATACACAGGGAAAGAGAGAAGGAAAGAAGACGTGATGGAAGTACCAAAGAAAAGCGTTGAAGAGTTATTTCTGTCCCCCACTCCGTGCATGCATGCATGTGCTTTACTGAGTGACTGAGCATGTGAGAGGGAGGGAAATAAATGAAATGAAGTAGAAATAATACACACACACAAAAAAAAAAAAAAATCATACAGGCAATAAACGCTGAACCATTAAAAATACTTCAAAAAACAACTACAAAAAACTCATACATAAATATATATATATTTATATATATTTATTTATTTATATATACATGTCTATTACATAAATTGTGTGCAAATACATACACAGATGCATGCATTCATGTGTGTGTATGTGTGTGTGTGTGTGTAGCCGTGAATGGATGCGTCATGATTGTGAATCCGTGCATCGGTTGAGGATGGGTAAGAAAGGGGGAGGGGATAGAAACGTGTAAAGAGAAAACAAATAAAACATGAAAGGGCGAAATTAAAAGAATCACACACACACACACACATACTTACGTACACATACGACGACGACGACGACGACTTTCCCCTTGATCTTTTTCAATTTCATTTGTTACGAATCCCCTTCCTTCTCACCGTGGCGGTGAATGAGATTGGCCCATATTTCTATCCTCATCCTCTTTATTCTCATCGTCATCCTTCCTCATGGTTGACATAAGCGAATGGTACTCCAGTAGTTTCTGCGTCCGCACGGCGTTCATCTCCACAAGTTCCTCCACCGGATGACGGAATTGAACCCCAGATGCCAAAAGTAACTTCTCCGTTGGTTTAAAATCCTCCAGTTGCTGCGCTGCCTTTTTTGCGATAAGTTGTAACTGCTGCTCCATTGTCTCCTTCACCTCCAATAGGTCCTTCTTGGCCTTACTGAACTCCTTAGCCTTTGGGTTAAATGTTTCCATCGCAAGTTCCTGTTGGACGTGGTAGTACTCAATCCGCTTGTCCAGTTCCTCCACGTGTCGTTCCTTCTTAAACTGCAGCTCGCCCAGGGTGAGGTAGAGGCTGCGGAAGTGCTCTAGTCGCTCCTTGCGTACATTCAATAATTGTGTCTCGGCTGTCTGCAGGATGGCGTTGTGGAGGTGGTGATTCAAGTGCTTATACCCCGACTGCACCGCATCACTGATGCTCTGCGCGCAGTGAAGGCTCTGCTCCACGTGCTGCAGCGTCGTCCGCAGGGCCTCCTCCTGCCGCTCTGCAAACAGCATGAATGTCGCCGCGTCCTCCTCCCGCTGCCGCTCCTCGGACATCTTCTCCAGTCGATCCTCGACGAGGAATGTACGCTCCTCTGCAAGGTGGCGCAGACGCTGCTCAAGTTCCTCAATGGCCCGCAGACACGCCTCCTGTTGCTGCCGGTTCAAGTCAAATAACTTTTCCCACTCGGTCATTTGCACAGAGAAGTTCGCACGCTGCGCACTGCGCGCTGACCTTATCTCCTCCCGCTTGGACGCAAGTCTCTCTATGTCCGCGGCGCAGCGTTTTTTAAGGTTCTGTTCCTTTGCAATCTTTGGTGAGACGAGACGAGGGACAAGTTCGGTGGCCAACGCACGCACCTTCCGTGTCGGCTCCTCCGCCGCGTCTTTTTTATACGTCTCAATGACGTGCTCGAGTTGGTCATAGAGGGGGCGCATTCCCTCAAGCAGTGCGGTCTTCTCAAAGTACAGATTCTCCGAGCGCACCATGTCTCCATCTGTCACGGCATCCTCCTGCTCCCGTTGTTTCTCCTTCACGTCGAACGCAGCACGGCGGAGACGCTCCCGTGGCTCTTCCATGACATGCTCCAGCGTGACCCGCCGTAGTGTTTCCCCAAGAACCCGCAGAAGAGGCTGCGACCACTCCGCCCACGCTGAAATATCGTCTACAGAGCAGGCGCAGGTCGCATAGCCATGTTCGATGGTTCGCAGACTCTCCTCTACCGCATCCTGCAGTCCTTTAATGAGCATTGAAATTGACTCCGCTGACGCATCCCCTTTACCTGCACTTGAGAGAAGCTTGCCATACGGGTGTAAATGCCGCACGTCCTGTATACCCGCGAGTAGGCGCTGTAAGGGCTGAAGTCGTCGACTCACCGCTTCGGCAGACGGTGGGGTCGATGACACTGTCGTTGTTGTTGCTGTTGGTGATGATGATGATGATGATGATGTCGCCGCTGTTATCGTATGGCCGTCAGGAAGCCGCATTTCACGTGCCTCCACTTCCAAACCGCACTCGGAGCGAAAGAGACTACCGCTCCCCTCCACCAGCGCACTCATCCAAAGTCCATCCGCCTCTCTCGCTGCGTGATTGTTGTTGCTGGTGTTTTTATTGCTGTTGTTATTATGATTCACCCCACCCGCCGCTTTATTCATTGGCACGACGGATGCCGCCGCTGCTGCCCCATTCGCGAAAGGGCCAATTGTTGCCTGAAGTTCTTCCAGGAGGCTTAGAATTTGTGTGGCGCTGTCACGCGCCATGCGTCGACGGCCCTCAACGGAAGTTGTGGCGCCTACGGGCACCGCACACGTGTCTAACACGGCCTCACGCTGAAAAAACCACTTCTGCGCCGCCACCAGTCGCTCCTGCGAGCACGCAGGCACCGCCGCTGGTGATGTTATCATCACAGCTGCTGCTGCTGCTGCCGCCACCGCTGCTGCTCCACCACCGACACTCTTTTTGCCGTTGCTGTTGTTATTCATATTCAAAACCCCTCCCCTCTTCCTCCTCAGCCCCCTTTTTCTTTTTTCTATAATTTATTTTATTTTATTTTATTTTTTATCGCTACACGTCTTCTTTTGTTATCTTGCGTTCCCCCCTCGCACTCTCAGACTCCTTCCAAAGATATCAATATATATGTGCATATGTGCATGCATGTTGGCAAACGATAAGGGAAGAAGCACACATATCCAGGAGGACAGGAAGAGACACACACACACAGAGAGAAAGAGAGAGACGGCACAGACCGACTCCCCCCCCCACCCCCCTCCAACACACACAAAACAACAACAACAACAACCAAATAAATAAATAAAAGAAACAGCGAGGATGATGATGGGAAAAAACAAAAACAAAAAAATGCAACAACAGCAACAAGACAGAAAAGATGGAAAGAGCAGCGCCTTCGTTCTCACACCTGTCTTTTTTCCTTTTCCTTTTTTTCTCCACATCCGTAAAAAAACAAACAAACAACAAAAAGAATGTGCACACAGAAACGGGAATTATTGGCAGCCAAATAAACAAAACAACCCCCTCCTTCCCTCCCCCCCCAAAAAAAAGTAAAAAAAAAAAATAAATAATTATAAAACAGCATGCATATGGAGCCGGATGCAACTGTGGCCAGTTGATGCATGCAGACACAAGTGAACTTCTCTCACCCCCCTTCCCCTCCTCACCGCAAAAAACACCAAAAAGTAAAAAAAAAAACAAACACACACATGTAAGGAGGGGAGGGGAGTGGACGCCTCTACAGCGCTAATATCACCACCACCACCACTGGTAAAAAGAATAATGACAATACCATTGAAATCACTCTAAAATCACCAGCAGTTTACACACATGCACACACTCATATATATATATATATGAGTATGTGTTTATGTATGCAGGATGGGATAAAATAACAATAACAACTACGACAACAACAACAAAAAAGGAGGCACAAACACACAAGTGCATGAGACCCTCCTTCCCTCCTTTCCCCCCATTGCGATTGGTGACATGATGTGTCGGAGTCACACGGACGTAAATGCATTGGGGAGGAAGAAGGAAGAAACAAAAAGAAAAGAAGGGCAAAAACAGCCAAGTCAAGCCCGTTTACCATCATATCCTCCTTTCCAATGTGAAAACTGTCTACTAAGTATAAAAAAAAGGCAGTAGACGGACTAGGAATTCTTCCCTCACTCCCTCCTTTCTTTCTTTCTTTCCTTTTTCCCGTACGCCACATACACGCGTGTATGTGGCATACTCTCCTCGCACAAAATCCCACTAGAATTCCCAACTGAGTCATCCATGTCAAGAGCTCTGTGTAAACATCTATCAAGCCATATATATATATATATGTAGGTTTAATGTTTATGTATGCATTGCATCATTCTACCCCATTTGTGTCTTATTCTTCCCAACAGGTTCCCCCCTCCTCGCCCTTTTCTTTTCTTTTTTTTTTAAATTCGTCTTTATTCTCTTCTCTTCCACAGACACTTTTCACCTTTCATTTCTTTCCTCACCCTGTTATTATTATTATTATTATTATTATTATTATTATTATTAACAGCCGGCTGTACCGTCGTGCCAAAGGTATTAAATGTCTGCATGTATGGAAATGTCCAGTGTAAATTTTCTGCCACGGATATACCGGGGTTATGCGAGATATCAAAGCGTGTAACACCGACAAGCCTCGGTTCAATTTCCCCAAAAACCGTCTTTGCAATGTCCTGACGTGTCAACTGCGGTAGAAACGTTTCATGAAAGACCCTTGAATTGCCTCCAGTGCCGTACAACAATTGCTGCGCGGATGATGCAGATGAATAGGAGGAAGAAGAGGACGATAACGACGACAAGGACGATGTCATGGGGGAGGACGTTGCATGAAACGTAGGGCTGCTACCACCACCAACACTATTCCCTCCATTCGTGGCGGAGACAACGTGCCCTGTAAAGAGTGCAAATCCCTGCAAGTCCGGGTGATTTGCCCGTTCCCCACGCAGCTCCAGGCGCCTCAATATACGCCGAACCGTGTATCGAACCATTTCGTACGTTCTGTTCATTTTTTTAGCATGTAGTTGCATGTCAGAGGCCTCCCAGGGCCAGTACTGTGGCTCACGTGGGGATGTAATCGTCAGCCGTTGCCGATATTCCTCACGTCGTGCTCGACTGTACCGCTTTTCCATTATTGCTGTGGCCGCCGCAGAGGACAAAAGCGGCGAGACGTGTTGTGACGCGTCAATAGGACGCAGCCCCCGCAGAATACCAAAGAGGTTCATGCCCCGCAGCTGCACCCCCACAAGTGTAAAAACCGGATCATCATCTATGTTCCGCAAGAGTCGGACCCCGTCGCTGCCCTTCTTTATCCCTCCAACCGACCCACCGGCACCTTCCTTCTGCGACTTGGCAAGAATGCGCGGCATGTCAATAAGCGTGTCTATTGGATAACGAAGCGCCATGCATGTTATTCCTTCCCATGCACAGTAGTCTTCTCCCCGCCATACGAGTCGTAGCCGTGGAATGGACGTTGAGAGGAGTTTCAAAAAATGCAGCGTCTCAATTCGCATGTAATCGGCATGCCGCATCGCACGTACACGCTGCCGCCACACAAACTGTCTTGCTTTTTCCTCTACCCCCTCCACCCCCCTCTTGCCACCATGTGTATTAGATCCCTTATCCGTCCCCATCCCATTATGATTGTTGTTATTATTCCCACCCTTACCAGATCCACTGCTTCTTGTCTCTGATACGCCCTTCAATACGTTATTCATATCTAAATTTGAATTCGGGCGCTGGAACTGTTGTAATGGAATTACATGCCGCACCGTCATGTCCCCAACAGGTGTGCTGTACGCCAACACAAGTGCAAAAGAGACGGCATACAATAACAGCATCGACGGTGGTACGGGTGTGTGAAGAGATGGGACAAGCATCTACTCCCTCCCCTCCCTCCCCCGCAACAGTCCCAACACACAAACACGCAACCAACTATAAATAAATCTAACCACACACATACATACAGAGAAAAAGAGAGAAAGAGAAAAAGAAAAAGAAATAAATTTGACATGGAAAGAGATAAGTGCATATATATATATATATATTGCACACAGCTGATTATTTTATTCATATTTTCTTTTTTCTCTTAGTATAAATAAATAAATCAATCAATAAATATAAAAAAAAATATATATATAACCAATCATCATGACGTCCTCTTCTTTCATTTCTTCCTTCATGTGTTTTGTTTCCCTTTTTTTTTTTTGTTCTTTCATTCCTTTTGGTGGATTCGTTCCACTGATGTCTCCTCTCCCTCTCTCCCCACAGATAAACATACATACACACACGCAGGTATATAGGTACACGGATATTAATAAATAATAAATGTGTGTAAATCACAATTTGTCCATTTCTCTTTTTTTTTTTTTTTTTTTTTCTTTCGTGTGTGTGTGTGTGTTTCTTTGTTGTGTGACTTCGTATTTCTTCCCCTCTTCTTCCATGACTCGTTGGTTTAAATAGGCGCAATAATTAAATGGAGAGGAGGGGGTGAAGAAGAAGAGGGAATGAAGGGAGGAAAGAGAAAAATAAGAACAACAACAACAAAAAAAACAAAACAAAACAAAAACTGATGTCGTCTGTTTCCCTTACGGCGGAAGGGTGACAAGGGCGCGGTGCTTCGCGACAAGCTCCGCAAGTACCGGCCATGTGCGTGGCGGGAGTCCAAGAATTTTTCGCTGCGCCGCTTCGACGCGTTCCTGTCGTGCGAGCTCAGCCTCCACTTCAGTCTTTGATTCGGTCGAAAAGAGAGATGTGGATGCATGCAACAAGAGTTGCGCCTGGTCGCCCTCCACCACGTTGTGGACGGGAGTCGGAGACACGGCTGCCGCGGCTGTGGCGGTCATGCGACCAGCGGCATTGTATGGGAGGTGCCCACTGCCTTCCTGCAGCGGGCAGCGTATGTGTGCGGCAACGAGCGGCTGCAGATGCGCCGCAAATACGGCGTCCTCCTCTCGCACAAATGGTGTGTACGCACCGACGGTGCCGAGGGACGTAGCGTAAAAAAGTATACGGAGCGCAAGCGATGGATCTGCGCCACCACTCGGATCGTAGTCATGGACACGTAATGCCGTGACAAGTTGCCCGGTGTGGTGCACGGCAATCTCCTGCAGGACTTGTTCATGGGCTGCATAACGCTCAGCCTCCAGAAGCTCGGCGTCACTCATTTGATGCAGCGGCTCCGCAAATCCAAGTCGTGCGTTCTGCGGTAGACGCAAGAAAGCAACGCTCCCAAAGCGGTCTGCCACGGCAATGGTGCGTTCATCGAGGCACACGACACTTGTCACGCTGCGGGGGACGGCATCGCGTGCCACGAGCATCAGGAAAGACATCGAACCGCCTGCGCCACTGCCCGGCTGCACCGTCGCAATAAAGACCGATTGATCGAGTGTGCCACACACGATAAGAAGACGTTTTTCTCGCGCAATGTTCCCGCTATTTGGTCCACAGCGAAAGAGATCGGGCGCATACGTGGCTGTGGTAGCGGATGCAGCGCCGGGTGGCGAAACAAAGACGGTCTCGATGGCGGTGATGCGACTCGGCACTTTTGGAAGCCGCCGCTTGCGCAAGAAGCGACGTTGCCCCCACGCGTATACCTGCAGTCCGTTCTCCGGCCCCAGGCCAACAAACAAGAGGCCTACCTCTGGACAAATGTGCAGCGCCGAGGGATAATCCAGGAGTGGCGCCGCCCGGTACGACGCAGCGAGTGTTCCTCCTGCCAAACCTTCAGCGCTTGTTTCTGCTGCGGCAATAAGTGTGTCATGTAGCTGCTCAAGGCGCAGTGTGGAGGCGGTACCGCTTCCTCCTCCTCCTGCTGCTGCTGGTTGACTCACAACAAAGCGAAACGCGCGAAGGCGGCCTTGGGTCCATGAGGGGCCAACACCGCAGCCACTTCCATGCGTGTATTGCTCCGCACAGCCTGCCACCACCACCGGCTCCTTCCCAAAGTCCTTCACAAAGCTCCCAACTGCGGCGGAGAGTACAGCCTCACGCTCTTGAAAGTACAAGGGCGGATCTAGTCGGTCTGTTCGCTTGTTGTACAGTTGTAGCGTGCTGACGTAATGATCCGGGTGGTTCAACGAACGCTGAGGTTTGTCCAGTGCAATCCCAACTCCACTGCTAGCAGAATTCATATTACTATTCTTATTGTTATTCGTATCGTTCTTGGCATCATCCGCGGCGTCCGACATGTTGTTACTTTGAGTGCGGCGCTGTTGCTCCGCTGCCGCTGCCACCGCCGCCGCAGACGCCCGTCTTAACGCAGCAACACCGTATCCACGATGTTCTGTGCCGATAACAATCAAATACTCCGCCCGTGTTGGATGCTGAAGAAGCCGCCGCCCTGCCACGGAAAGGGGTGTGTGGCCAAAACTGTACTCCAACGACGTTTCTGCCGTGCTCGTTCCACCACTCTGCTGCGCGGCAAAAAGGGACAATGTATTGCCCGCGACGCCAAGTACCAACTCTTCCCGCGCCCCCGTTGGCATCTCCACCTCCGTTGTGGCTGACCCCGTCGAACTCGCATTGAAAGTAGGTGGCCGACGGAATGACGCGTACATCACTTGCGGCGATGGGAAGCGCCAAGGCACGGTCTTGGGCAAGCCATCACGGACATCACAACGCCAGTTAAATTCCCCACACAATACATAGCATGCACGTTCACCATCGCCAGCAATCATCTGGCATGGCGCACTACCGCACGTTAACACGGCCCGGTCCATTACTCCATATGTTGCCGCATCCAACTCACAGCGTGTCACCGTCCCATCAATGTGGCCAATAAAACAGAAGAGACGTCGTACCCCACCGGTTCTTCCAAGATATGTTAAAAGAACCGATACAATCGCTGGTGGAATGCCGCCGTTATTATCATCCGCGGTGCAGTGAATGGTTTCCAATGGTTCCCGCAACTTTTTGGGATTCACAATGTACACCTCATGACTTGCGGTGGCAATGGCCGCTAACATCGCCACCGAAGATGTTGCTAAAGAAGGATGCAACGAAGCGTTAAACTGTTTGGATTCAACATCTGGATCTCGTAGAAGTGATATGGCGGGGGCATGAGGAAAGGACGGAATTGCCTCCAGTTGTTGTAGTCGTGTCCCACTTATTCCCATGTCAAAGCTGGAAATACCGCCTCCTTGGGCAAAAGAAACCACGATGGTGTTTCCAGAAACCGCAGCGGCAAGAATACGCTTGCCATGGGGATGCATCCACGTGGCACTCTCCGCCATGGGCCTCGTTCCCATAGCGCCCTGTTGCTGTTCCGTACGATACGGAAGCACGACAATACAACTCGGCGTGATTTGAACATATCCCACACCGTAGTGCAGAGTTCCTGCCGCAATGGTGTGCTCAGATGTGACAAATCCCGAGAGTGTATCGGGCTCAACGTGTCCTGTCAGTGCGAGCGAAAGCACGGTGGTGCCTTGCCGTGTTGAAAGAAGTAATTTATCGTCCCATAATTCACTGCTCGCAAGGCGAGAGGAGTTCTTGGCAGTGGATCGGTATCTTCCACCGTTCTTTGTCTTTTTTGTCTCCATCTGCATTTCACGCCACCGCTGCTGCATCGCCGTTGCCGAGATCAACGGGATCAGATGGAAGAACACTGCCGGTAACGTAAAGGAGCTTTCCAGCCTCGCTGCATACCCATAGCGAGCATGGAACAACACACTATCGGAGCCGCGTCCCACCAATGCGTCAATCTGAACATGAGGTTGTTGTTGTTGTTGTTGTTGTTGTTGTTGTTGTTGTTGTTGTCGTTCTTGATGAATTTCAACATCCTGCTCGCCTTGTGGAATCGTCACAAGGAAGGATGTAATCGCGGGTGTGCTCGGGTACGTTTCAAGCAGTACCATGTGCCGCAGTGACGGATGCGGAATAAAAAGTGGAACAACACGGCCTTTTTGTTGTTGTGGCGTCTTCGGCAGTGACGATGGTGGTGGGAGAAGTACTGCGGCCCCCCCCGCTTTGGGCAATGAGGGCGGCAGCATCATCCCTCCGCGTGGGACACCCGTCCCTTCTTCCTCCTCTTCCTCCGTCACCGCCGCAGCGGAAGGATTGGAAGGAAGATTCGAATTCAGAGGAGTTGGCAGGATGATGCCTTTTGTCTCCTCATCATACCCATCCTCGTGACGGCGGCTGTCATGCCGTTGGTCGACCATCCGCATCCTTGATAGGATGTACTCCTCATCTGAGCGGTAGCCATCCTTCACAATCTTGTACAGCCCATGCGTCGGGGAGGACTCACTCGCAGCAAAAACAAAGCCACGACGGAAGAGCACCATGACCGTCGTCGGTGGTATTGTATCAAAGTAAGTCACGGTCAGTGGAGATGGTACGGAGACAGGTGGGACCGAACCCGTGGGAGGACCGATACGTCGCTGCTGCTGCTGCATCCGCAGCGCATCATAGGAGCGCTGCACATCCATAATTGTAAGACTAATGCGGAAAACATCACCCTGGTCATCCTGCAGCAACATAAAGAAATCATTCCGCACACACGTCATGGCGTGGGAAATAATCATTGGGTCATACAGCTGTTCACGGAAGTCATTACGTCGTGGAAAAGGCACGGCCGTTTTGAAAAGCGAAACGGAGGAGAGGCCGGAAGACAACAACGGTGTTTGCAGAGGCGGGGCGGAACTGGACATGCTGTTGCCAAGGATACCGCCGCCATGGAGCTGAGGTAGTAAATCGTACCATATGAGTTCTGCGTCCGTGCAGACAATGACCCCACCGGGGCCAAATGGGGCGGCGGGAACCGCAATGAGACGGTGCGCCGTCGCAGGGACGGAGACGAGATGTGTACGCTGCACCTGCTGCAGGCCAGCCAGGAAGGCATATACCACCAGTTGCTTCGATCGACTACTGCTGCTGCCGCTCTTCCCATGGGAAGTCTGCCTCGTGCTGGAATTGACACGCAAGAATGCCTGACCAGCTCCCACATTCGAAGTGGCCGCCGCATTTCCAGAACCATCTGCGGAGGACGGCAATGTTTCCGCCTCAGGTATTTCCTGCTCAAGTGTTGCAAACGTGGCATTTTCCGTCGCACCATCCAAGGCACACATAAAGAAAATGATTGTCTGGCGATGTGCCTCAACCGGGGAGCCAAAAGACATAAGGTCCCGTATAGCAGGCCGTCGTTTTGTGGACATGACGGCACCCTCAGGCCCCGCTTCTGCACCACGTGGCGGCAACATGAGCAGCTCCTCCTCTGCCCCTTCCTGAAGTGAACCGCCACTCCCTCTGCGACCGCGTTGGGCGTAGTATTCCTCATGCTTGCGAAGCGGTACGAGTACTTTTAACCGCATCAACGCTGAAACAAACACGGCCCTCCCCAGCGGGTCCACAGCAAGGCGTGCACTCGGTACCGTCAACCGCGCCCCACTGCGGCCAAGAACCACCTCACTCACACGAACAAACTTCCCACGCAGAGATGTTATCATCGACGTGTTTCGCATTCTTGTTGCTTCATCCTCGTCGTTGTCGTCCTGCTTTGGATTGCTGCTGGTTGGGTCTTGCGCGAGTCGCGCCGGCACGGGGATCTCGTCGAGATCGTAACGCAGCAACACGAGACACCCCGTTTCGGATGTCACGGCGAGTCGCTGCATCGCCACACTGTCACTGGACGGCGTGTCAAGAATGCCAGCGGAGCCGCTCCCGCCGTGACCCGCAGAAGAACGCCCGGCGGCAGCGATGGTTGGCACCGTGGCAATTTGATAAATATTCGCAAAGAGGCGTGTGCTGTGGATACACTCCGCCACATTGCGGTCCACATGCAGCGTCCAAAGCTCAAGGGTGTCATGTCGTACCACCACAAAGTCCGTGGCACCAGGAAGGGTAAAGGTGCCAACAACGCAGTGTGTAATTTTCTGCGTTGGGATGATTGTTTGGTGATAAATCAAATCTGTGTTCGCCGGTGGATGACGCGGCGCTGCTGCTGCTGCCACCGCCGCCGCCGCCGCCGCCTGTGGGGCGGTTCGTGTCGTCATCGTCCCCTCCTTGCCTTCTTTTCTTACCCTTACTCAACCGTGGCCCTGTCGTTACCCTCCCTTCGCCAAATAAGAGCGGATGTGAGGTGGTGAAATTTGTCAGCGTTCGTATTTTGTGATGTGAGCACGTGAATGCAAGACAAATTCTCCTCCCTTCTTTTTTTTTTTTTTTCTTCTTCTTCTTCTTTTCTATTCCTTTTGTTTCTACTTCGTTCTTTTCCCTTTTTTTTTTTGCGGCAAAGAAATTTATATAAAAGAGAGAAATGTGGAAAGAAGTGCAAGAGGTGGGTGCAAGAGAAGATGCATGCATGCATACAAGAGACATGGCGAAATGCGGCTGACAACAATAAGTAGAAATAAATAAATAAATAAATAAGAAGCCAAGCAAGCCTGTGAAAAGCCGCTGTTGTAATATGTCCAATGTCGTCTCGGCATCCCGCGGGCGTTTGTTGTCCCTCCCCACACACATACATACGCACTCACCCCGCAGACCGACTGAGTGACCAACTACAAACCCCTTCCCCCCTCCCCTCTCCTCTCCTCTCCTCAAAAAAGAAAAAAAACAAAACAAACGTACACACATACGCGCACAGAAAACAAAAGACCATAAAAATAGACAAACACCAGGGCAAGGCCCTTCCATTGGTCGCCCCTTCCCCTCCCTCCCTCCCTCCCCACACGGCACCTCTCAAATTAAATGCATTTGTATGCGGGGACTATGGGGAGAAATGAGGGGTTCGTCCACTTACGCCGCCTTTGACACAATCACCGGTTTCTTCAACATGGCGAGTGCATCTGGCACTTGAGCTGCGTCATCACCACTACGGCCTTCTGCTCCCTTTTCATTTCCCGCCGTCGCTGCTCCTTCCGATGCCGCCTTGGCGGCAGCTGTCTTCTTGCGCTGGGACGCCAGTACGGGGGCGGGAATATCCCACGTCTCCGCGCCCATGACCCGCATCGTGTACAGGAACAGCCCAATGCTCAGACAGCCGAGTGCGACGCCAATGTAGTTTGCATACCGCCGTTCGTCGCCGTACAGCCAGTCGCGGTACATACCGGACTCGTCAAACGTCCCCTCGCCCTGAGTCTCGCGTAGACGGTAGTCTTTTCCGCCTGCCACATTTGTAATTAAGTTCGCGTTCTTCCATCGTACACTATTGTTAAGTTTGTGAGCAGTTTTGTACACAGGTAGGCTGTGCGCTACCGGCGGACCTTTCCGCGCCCTGCGCTCGCCAGGTTTGATGTCAAGAGGCCCTTCAAACAACTCCTTACGAAATCCACGTCGCTGCGTGTACGCGGCACTGGATGCAGCCATCACCGCGGCCAACTCCATCACCACCACCGCCCCACCACCTGCGTCAGGACTACCGGTAGTCAAGGAAAAGACACTGCTACGGCACGGTCGACGCATCGTTGCGAGGACCCCACCCGGGGCATACGACGAAACATGACGATACATGCGCTTCATTCACCACACACAAGCACACTTAAGCCAACAAGAAAATAATATATATTTATAAGAAAAACTTCTCCTCCTACTCTGCCCTTTCCTGTTGCTTTTAGAAAAAAAAAAAAAAGGACAGAGGGAGAAAGAAAGAGAATGACAGAGAAGTCCCCCTCTCACTGGAGAGCCGTCAAGGAAATACAACTCATCCAAAAAAGAATCCCTTTGGCCACTCTTTTACACATTGCATTGGTAAATACACACATGACCAACCTCAGTTTCTACTCTTCCTCCTCGTCATCCGAGTAACTGCGGAAGGAGGGCTTGCGTGTACATCGCATGGTTCCAATTGTTTTCCAAGTCATATATTAATATTTATACCAATACTTCTACTCTTTTTGTTGTTATTTATATTCTTCGCAAAATATTTTCTTGTTTCGTCTTTCCCCGCTCCGGTCGTAGATCGACGTGAAACGTGGGCCGTGGGCCTAACTTTGCATGGGCTTCGGCCGCCACGGCGGATGGAAGGAGAAATGCGTCGTCCAAGTTGATCTCGACCCCGGACGCATCGCGCCACGACACAAGTGTGTAGCGTTGAGACATGGAGGTATTCTTGATGGGGGATCGAGTTCTACTCAGCGCTTCACTGCGGATGTGTGACGTCGAATGGCTTCGGTTCTGACTGTGGCCTCTCGTTTCACCGAGGCCCTCGCGAGGGAGCTCCGATGCATCCAGGCGACGGCACTCTTGGCGCACCGCGATGGATTCAAGACCAGGACGCACGGATCCACGAGAATGCAACAAGGAATTCGCGGAAAAATCCAATGACATCATCGAAGTGGGCATCTTCGGCTTCCTCGCTGTGGCTCCTGTTTTCTCCCTCATATAAATCCCCTTCGGTTCCTCAAGGCCATTCTCAACATCTCCCTTGCCTTTTTTGCCATGAAGTAACTGAAAAAAATCTAATGCATGAAACGGCAAATTGGGTGTGTGATTTCTCTGTCTAGAGGACTTCGGTGCTGACCGTTGCTCGGCTGCAGGCTTGGGATCAAACGCACGTGAGACAGCTCCATGTGTAGCGTCCTCAGCATTCCAATCCAACTGCCGTGATTGTGATAACCCCGATGCATCTTCCCGTGGCTCTGATGGCACCGACACCCGTCCCTCGACGTGATGATGAAATGCATCCCTGTTGTTAGGGGAATTATGCAGATGCGTGTTTGACATCCTACCAGCATCATTGCTGGCCGTTTCTACCGTCTTTACAGAACCAGTTCTGCTATGGGATGACATGTGCCACTGCTCTTCCTGTTTCAGCTCCCGTAGCCATTCTCCACCATTATGCCTGAAGGCCAACCGCTCCTTGTCATTATATTCCCGCTTCGATGAACTCCTCTCGCTACCGACGTTCCATGTCGGACTGCATTGACTTTTCGTAGAGCCCTCTCCTACTATTCCTTCATGGCTTTTACTGTCTACTGCTCCAGCCACAAGTTCGTAGCTTTTCTTCTCGCCCACTCGCTCCCTTAACAACGCTTTTGGGGTTTGTCGTGCAACAGGCGACGGAACCGTAAATAAGAGGGAAGGTGGAGTTTTTTGTTGCTGCGAGTTTCGTCGGATACCGGATTGCGGAAATCGAAGCGGTTCTTTCGTGGGTGACATTATCCCCCACTCCTCCATCCCCATCGGCGTCAGGTGACTGTTGCCGCACCACAAACCACTGCGTCCCGGTGTCGTTGACATGAGACTGACGCTCACGTCGCAAATGCCGTTTGGCGTCCGTGAAGGACCCCCAACGGAGCCTGCGTCGGTCCCGCCCTCCCCCGGTACTGAGCAGTACGATGTGTTCCGTGTACTCGCCGTTCCCATATCACCATCTGGGTCATGAGTCCGAAACAAGGAAGGAGAAACCTCACACCTCGCCGACTTTCGCCCATTCTCTTCTCGTTTGGTGAACTCAATCATGCCACGCTCAAAGCAGGGCAGTATATTTGACTGCCGCTGCTCCCGTTGACATTGCATCTCCCGGGTCCAACAATTCAAATGACCTTGTAAGATGGGGAGTCGCAGCGTCAACTCCGCGTATGTCGGCTCATGTGATAGCTTAGGAAGAGGCAGTGGCATCCCGCCTTCCGTCTTCTCGTGGTCTTCTTGCACATATGGGCTCACGTAAGTTTCGGGATCTGGTAGACACAAGGTTGGCTCTGTAGCCTCCTTCACCGATTCGTCACGAAGGGACGGCAAGACAATTTCTTCCGCATAAAGAGGCTCAAAAAGTGCCTGTCGCAGTCTTTGCCAAATGACGTAGATTTCCTCCACGGCCGCTCGCTGAGCCATCATCACAAGCTGCGCTGACGGCCGCAGAAACACAAACTGCCCTGTCTGACAAATAGGACCCGCCAGCATATCCACCACTGCAATGGGAGCGTGTGAAAGTGTGTTGCGGTTAAGCTTGGCCTTGGATACTCCAGAAGCGCTAGCAAAACCTGTGCCATTCGTTATGCTACAACTGGCGCGACGCTTTGATACAGCAGTTGCCCTGCCGGTGTGTTGCGGCGAGGGACCGCATCCTTGTCGTAACTCACACACATTCACAATACCTTTTTCACTATGCGATGCCGCATGTTCATCTACTGCCGACATCGCCGTGGCAACCGATTGTTTGCGTGAGATATTTGCTAAGGAGGAGGATCTTGTTGTTATTGCTGAGACTACCCCAGATGACCGGTCATTGGCGGTGTCAGCGGCATTCTGCATGGGGCTATGCACCCGTCGTCCCTTTCCCGCCACTGCCGCGTGCGAGTAGTTACGAATCGACACAACCTGCGGCATGACCTCAGGAACAAGCAGTGGACATTGTGCCTCATTGTCTACCATCGCATCTTGTCTCTGTTCTTCTTTCATCATGGCACACACCTGCTCAGATACCCGTGCAATCTCAGGGTCGTACGCCGTGCTGGCACCGACGGGAGGGTAACGTACGGCCGGGGCGATGGTGAGCCGCCGCGCTTCACTTATTTCATCAATGCAAAACGTCACATCGACGCACACCCGCATGGGCGATCGTAGCGCCCGGATGAGGACGTCGTCAAAGTCCTCGTAGATCTGAAGTTCAGCGAGACTGGCGGGCGACCCGTCCAGCAGCGGGTCCTCAAAGACGCCAATGACACGTGTAACAAAGGCAGGCCAATAAAGTTCCGACTGCTCCTTCTGTTGATAGGGATGATGCGAGGGATAAGAACTTCGTCTACGCCGCTCATTTGGCCAAACAGCCAACACTTTCTGAGACAAACCGCCATCGCCTGTCGGCTTTAGCAGCTCGCAACGCACCCGCACAACCCCGCGTGTTTGACTGTAATCTACCATGAGAGACATGTCCGAGCCCCCATTCACCGCCGCGTTGGCGTAGCAAGAGGCTGGGATCGTTCCCAACGGCACGATCCACGTGCGTGGAAACTCCACCCGACTCAACGCCCGTACGTTGAAGGCACCCGCTACTTTTGGCAGCCCGTAGTACATTTCATCACCAACGCCATTACCGACACCGTTGTTGTTGTTCCGCTCCTCCTCATCATCTCCGCTGTCATCTTCCCCGTCGTCCAGGCGCCCAATGCACCACTTGTTGTACTCGTCCATAAGAATTTCCATCGCCTCGGCTTCAAAAGGACGTTCCACTACATCCCGGAGGGAAAGTGCCATGACGACAACTCCAGAAACGCCCACCCCCCCCCAAACACACACACTTTTTTTTCTTTTTTTTTTTTTACTATGTGCTTCTAAACAAATGGCCCTTCTTCTTCGACTTGACTTCACACACAGACACACACACACACACACAATTGTGGCATCACACGGGAGAGGCAACAACGACAACAAAAAACAAAAACAAAAAAACAGAATGGCGTGTAAAGAATAAACCAAACCAATGGAATGAAGTTACCCATCATAATTCACACAAATAAACCCGGAAAACGTGTGGTAAAAAAAAATAACTATATATATATATATATATATATATATATATATATATAAGGACCAGACACACCAAGACAAAAAAAAAAAAAAAGAATGCCGATGCCATGTCTCACAACATGCCTCGTGAAGGTTGATGCGGCGGCACGGTTTCCCAACTCTCTGGGTAGCGTGGACGCAGTCTCGCCCCGTACGCCTCCGTGTAACTTTCCGCCGGTCGTCCCGTTGCAGACATGATCTCCGGCATGGGTCCAACTGTGCCTGGGAACTGCAGCTGTTCCCTCAATTCCTGTAGTCGCTCCGGTGATGTTGCACGCCGCGGTTGACACAACACATCCTGCACGCTATCCGAAGAGGAGGAGTAGACGCCGGGGCGTCGCGTGTCTGTGGTAGGTTGCTTCCCCACCACTGGCGGAAGCACGTAGGACTTGAGCGTGTAATACGGCCGCCGCAGCAATGCCTCGTTCTGCTCAACCGTGTCACGCTTCATCCATTCCGCCCTTCGCGCCCGCACTGGAAGCGGGTGCAGCAACTCTCGCCAGGCCGTGCGATAACGAAGCGTCGTGGCGGTACGTCGCAACATCCCTTCCCCCTCCCACCCCCTCAAAAAAGCACAAACAAAAACCGACGGATTCCCACACAAACACCCCCACGGCAACCCTCACGCTTCTCTTTTTTTCTTTACAGATGTGCAGACACCACGTGCAGTGGAATGGTGACTTGTGCGGCAAAACAAAACAAAAAAAGAAAAAAAAAACTGAACAGAGATCAACATCAATAATGGTAACAAGCGGTAAGAAAAAAAAAATATATATATACATGTACATACATCCTCATATATACATATATACATGCATATATGTATACCTACAGGACAACACTCGGGGAAAAAGAAGAATAAAAAGTAATTTACCAACAAATCAACCTCTCTCTCTCTCTCTCTCTCTCTCTCTCTTTTCTCTTTATTTGCTACACTAAAATGTAAGACCGACACACACACACACACAGACGCACACACGCACGACACGCACAAGCCATACATACACACAAATACACACATATATATGTATGTATCTAATAGATCAATAAACTTATATAGAAAAAAAAAAATTCCATTTAATAATGCGTCTTTAGTTTGTGCGTGTATATTTATATTTATATATAAATATATGGAAAAAAATGAAGGTTGGGTTACTAGCAATGATGAATACAAAACCAAAAACAACAACAACAACAACAACAACTAATAAATATCACTTCATTTCTCTTTTTTTTTTTCTTTTCTTTTCTTTCATTGACGTTTCGTGCGCACATGCCCAGTCGCAATGTTTTTCTTTTTTTTTCTTTTTCTTCTATTCCCATTCATAAACCTCCCCCCTTTCCTTTCCTTTCCTTTCCTTATCCCTCCCTCTCTCTTAGCTCCACATTGTCAATGGGTGTATGTATATGAATGGGTAAATAGCTCAATGCCTGCCTGCATGCCTGCCTGCCTGCATGCATGCCTGCATGGATGGATGGATGGATGGGGGAGTATGAAAGGGAACATAACATCAAAAAAAACAACATGAGAGTAATCGAGAAGGAAGAAACTCAGCAAAAACACACACAAACACACACGCACAGAAAAAAAAAAAAAAAAACAACGGCGGTAATAACTCATTTGGCCCCACTTCACAAGAAGACATGTCTTCCCCACCCACCCCATCTCCCCTCTCCGTTCCTCCTCTGCTTCTTCAAAACATACACACAAAAAAAAACTAAAACAAAATGATGGCAATATGAAGGGAAAGGAGACGGGTGGGGGGGAAAAAAAAAGGGAGGCATCAAAAAGAGCGGCAAACCCGAAAAAACAAAACAAAACAAAAAAACAGAGCACCTCACATATATATTTATTCTCTTCACTTGTCCGTCTCTCGTCGCATGGACGTACAAATCCCTCCGGCTCTTTTCTCTCGTGTACGGGGAGGGAGGAGGAAAGGGGATTGCGCATTGTATAATGTTCATTCCATTTCTCCTTCCCCTTCCCTTCCCCCCCTTCTCATGTACATTCACCACTCCCATCGCAACATATCAGCAGCAGCACCATCCCCCTCCACACCCCCTTTTTTTTTTCTTTTTAATTCATTTCTTTCTTTGGTGTCCACAATTTATTACTATTATAATTATTATTCCCCCCTTTTTCTTTCTTTCTTTCTCTCTCCCTCTTCCCTCTATTTCTTTCTTCCTTCCTTTCTCTGCCATGTACATGTATATATATATATATATAGAGAGAGAGAGAGAGAAACAAATACACACACAAAGTACATGGTGAGAGTAAAAGAGAAATACATTTGGAGAAAGAGAGAGAGAGAGAGAGAGAAAAAAAAAAAAAAAAAAAGGGGAGGGGGTCGCAGACACACGTGAATAACTAAACAAAAAGGGAGATCATTTCCAATCAGCGGCGTGTTGGACGAATTCCTTTTGGCCTCGCGATGGTTGTCATGCATTTAGGTATATGCCGCTGCGCCGTGAGCTCAGCAAACTTCCTACCACAATGCGGACATGGGACACGATCATCATATGCCTCTGGCATGGGCTGTGACGCTGGCATGGACTGTTTTCCACCACCACCACCGCTTGGTGCATTCACATTCACTTGCCGCATTGCACGCATTGCGGCCTGAAATTGTTCATGTTGTATCTTCCACTTGGGCGGTTTGCCTGAATTTGTATTTGCAACCGCCACTGGATGCTTCTTTCCACCTTTTTGAGAGACACTGTTGCTAGGTGCGGTCACCTCACGAATACCCTCAATGCCTTCCAGTCGTTGCTCCTTCGTGTCGAAGACACGTCGCTTCTTCTGTAAATTTGAGCAGGCACTCTCGTGGCGTGCAAGAATGGACGCACGGAAGCTGCGACCGCACAATCCACATGGCATTAACGGTTCATTTGTCGGTGGCGGCGCCACAAGCGTATCGGTTTTCCCCCTCTCACTACCACCAACGACAACATCATCTAGGGAGATGTTGCTGCGTACCGACGGACGGGCGGGAATATTGCTCATCTTATTTTTGTTTATTCCCACCTTGGAGATAACAGACTGCAGCTGTTGTTGCTGTTGTTGTCGCGGTCGCAAGGATGCTTCTCCACCCATTGTGGACGTCACATCCCCAACGGGTATATCGTCAAACTGCATGGGCGGGTTGACACGGCTTGGTGTGCCCACAGCGATGCCTCCACCTGTGCCGCGCTGCTGCCGGGATGACGGACGCCTCAGTGGCGCTGTTTCCGGAAAATCATCCTTGTCATTTTTCCCTACATCCACATCGAAGTTCCATTCCGGCTTCTTTGCATGTTGCTGTTCTTGCTGCTGCTGCTGCTGCTGCTTAGAACGCCAGCCTTTCCGCGGGGATTCATACCGCCGAAGCCCCCAGTTATTCATTTCTTCTCCGCCCGCTGGATCCTCCGCTGGCTCCACTTGCCGGGTTCCATGCTCAATACTCCCGGCACGAAGTTCTCTGCGGGCGGGACGCGATATGGCCGCTCCGGCAGTTCCCGCAACTGCACTGGCCGGTGGTGGTGCAAACACACGGGTTGCAAGTTCATACGCCTCATTCGTGTTATTGCTGGCCCTCGCCCTACCAACATTTCCACCAACTCTCCCCGCCACGTCCTGCAGCTGGGACTGTTGTTGTTCTTGTTCTCGTTGTTGTTTCTCCTTAAACTGCGCAATGGAGGCGCGTAAAGAATCCAGCGAAATGCTGTTTCCAAATCTTCTCGTCCGCGTCGACAATTCCTGCGTTATGGGCGTACCAATTTGTACATTGTAACTACTACTTGTCAGCGTGCTAGTCCCAGGGTTCTCCACCTGCACAATCTGATCCGATAGCATGGCCCATAGTTGCCGCGCCTGGTCAGGGGTGATGATACCTGCTTTGGTGGCACGCTTAAAATCCTCCTCCACTACATTCGCAATGCGGCGACTACGTGCCGCTGGAGTTAAATTCGTTGTAGTCGCCAAGAGACCACTCCCGCTGCTGTTGTTGTTGCTGTTGCTGTTGCTGTTGCTGTTAGCGCTGTAAGAAAGCGCCATCGACGGCTGCTGCTGCTGCTGCTGCTGCATCGGCTGTTGTTGCTGCTGAAACTGCTGACGTTCCTCACGAATCCTCCTCGCACGCTCCATTTGAGCCGCCCGTTTCGCTGCATAGTCCTGAACAAAATCCGTCGCTGTTGGCATGCCAAATTGTGTATATATATGTATGGATATAGATATCCCTCTTCCTCTTCTTCGCTCTCTCTATTGGCCCTACTTTTTGGTGCTTGCCGCTCCATGCACGGATGATACATACATATACATACAAAGGAAAGAGAATGGGAAAGATGCATGCAGGGAAGGGGAGAGTGGCGGACATGTCATAATGTCAACAACACTGCGGTACACACACACACACAAATAAACAAACAGCACTTTGCATTCATAAGATTAAAAAAAGAAAAAAAAAAAAAAAAAAAAAAGGATCATAAATACTTCCGTCTCCTTTTTTTTAAATTTATTTATTTATTATTTCTTCGTTTCTTCGTACCCCGTGCCTTTCATAACCCAATCCCACCTTTTGGAGTGGGAAATAATAATAATAATAATAATAAGAAAAACAAAAAAAAAAAAAGAAGAAATAAAGAAGAAACGCTTGTATCCCTCCAATTCATTTAAACCATAATACGTGTCAGACCAACCCATATTTATTTACATGCATATTATATTATATTATATTATATATACCTATAAACAAATAGGATGAATCCCCACGCAAAAATCAGCCCAACATAATAAATAAATATATATGATAATGATATAATATGTGACTGTTGTAGCCGTCGATATCATGGTTCTATGCATACATAAATACCCTCCTCCTCTCCTCTTTCCCTCTCAATGCCTATCTCTCTCTCTCTCTTCTTTTCTTTTCTTTTTTCTCTGCACATACAGAGAGAATTATGTGGCACACGGACATTCTGATTTACTTTCCAATCATGGGGCGAGATGCGGGCACGACGCCAGGAGCACCGCAAGCCGCTCACGCACTTCTTTTGATATGGCCGATGGGGAGGTGGTGATGGCGTGACTTAGTAGACTGTGCGCGGGATCAGCAAAGAAATCCTTGCCCAATGCAGAGATGACTTCCAGTGTGCAAGTCCGCGATTTGTCAACGTTCTGCTCGAGCGTCTTCCTCACATTCGCCTCAGTGACATGCGGGGCATCGCTCCAGGCATCCATGTCCGTTACCATGGCAATAACAAGATACGCCATCTCCGCCTCCCGTGCAAGCTTTGCCTCTGTTGCGGTTGTCATCCCAATGAGGTGGCCGCCCAGCTGCTTGTTCATAAGCGACTCTGCCTTTGTGCTGAACTGCGGCCCCTCCATCGTCACACTTGTGCCCTGTTCATGCAGCCGCCACCCTTCCGTCCCTGCCGCAAGACCGGGAAATGTGCGGTGCACGGCGTCCCGTGCGAGTTTGCGGAAGGCCGCCGATGTCGGAAAGGCAAAGTCACAGTGGGCAACGATGCCGTCCTCAAAGAACGTCGATTTGCGTCCTGTCGTGCGGTCAATGATTTGGTCCACCAGCACAAGGTCGCCCGGCTGGTAGTTGCTGTCCAGTGAGCCCACGGCGTTAATGGCGATGAGGTAGCGCACCCCAAGCAACTTCATTGCATACACATTGGCGCGGTAGTTCACCTCCGACGGGTTCAGTACGTGACCAACACCGTGACGGGGTAGGAAGGCACAGTCAACGCCTCCGACTTTAGCCACGCAGATATCGCCACTGGGACGCCCAAAAGGGGTTTCAATGGCGTAATACTTCACTTCATTCAGGTTGTGCAGTTGATAGACACCAGAACCGCCAAAAACCCCAACGAGCACAGGGCTTCCGTGTGGATTGCAGCAGTGGGACATGGCGCGAAATACGTTGAAACGACTTCTTCTTTGTTTTCCTTTTTTTTCGTTTCTTGTCAATAAATGGCAAGCACAGATGTAGAGAAACCTTCCACAGACAAACACAACATCCAAGCAGAAGGAATTTAAAAAGAAAAAAGAAAAGGAAAAATAAGAAAAATAAGAAAAAAAAAAAAAAAAAAAAAAAAGCGGCGCAGAAGCATGCATCCCGCTGCCTCTTCCTCATCTTTTCCAATCTTCATTTTTTTATTTTCCCTTTCAAGAGCAAATCTTCCTTGTGCCTCTTTCCCAATGTGTGTGTGTGTGTGCGTGTGTGTACGTTTCATTTTCTTCTCCATTCCTCTCTCAACACGCAACATTTCGGGTTTCAATGTGTGCATTTCACCATTCATTCATTCATTCATCCTAAATTAACTTCTTGTGCCGTTCATTACAGTCACACTTTACCGTTCGGCAAGCAACCATTCATTATCCATCGTGCCTACCGGGACGCTCCTCTCATAATCGGTCACGTCCAATGTGCTGCGTCTTGTATTCCAGAAAGGCGGAGAGGTTCTCGGCGACCTCACGCCAGTGTGCGGCGTCATCAATTTCCGGAAGGGTGATACGATGGTTCCGCTGCGCCTCTCGCACCAATTGCTGCCGCCGCTTCAAATATGACTGAAAGGGTCCCAAAAACGATTTCAGGGCCACATGCACATGAAGTGGGATGTACACGGCGTCATCGTGCGTCTCATCTAAAAAGAGGTCCATTATGTGGTTCGAGGCCTCACAGCGCACACGCCACTCTGCATCGGTTGCAGTGATATTCGCCATCCACCGTCGACGCACGTCTGTCGCTTCACCCTTTGCCGCCAGTGGTGGTGGTGATGACAAAGCGGCGGCGGTGGCGGTCTGCAAGGCACCATCCACTTGAAGCATGCCCAACGCAAAGCGTGCCGCCACGTGGGTAGCCTCGGAGCTCTTGAAGGAGGCGCAAATGGCGCACACCGCACCCACGCATGCCTGCTTCTGCAGCGGAGTGGCATGCGCATCCCACGCAAGTCGTGTTAGAATGTCCACATCGGTCCCCGTGGCGGCGAGGTGGTTTGTGACTTGAAGCGAGCCCCCCGCGTGAGCCGCCTGCTTACGCTGCAGCGTCCATAACATCTGTACAAGGGACTCCAGTTGCAGCC